AAAAACTCGAGGGATGTTCAAACTTGACAGCTTTAAGACTTGTGGACGTCAACTCCCAGAATTCCTCCTCCAGTCTTGTTGGATCAGGAACTCTGGCATTGAAGTGTGCAAGTCTTAAAGCTGTCAAGTTACAAGACCCTTGCATCCGTAAACCTTTACAAAAAAAAACTCCAGGGATGTTCAAACTTGACAGCTTTAAGACTTGTGGACTTCAACTCCCAGAATTTCTCCATCAGTCATGTTAGCTCAGGAACTCTAGCATTGAAGTGTGCAAGTCTTAAAGCTGTCAAGTTACAAGACCCTTGCACTCCTAACCCTTTAGAAAAAAAACCACAGGGATGTTCAAACTTGGCAACGTTAAGACTTGTGGACTTCAACACCCAGAATTCCTCCTCCAGTCATGTTGGCTCAGGAACTCTGGCATTGAAATGTGCAAGTCTTAAAGCTGTCAGGTTACAAGACCCTTGCACCCCTAACCCTTTAGAAAAAAAAAACGCCAGGGGTGTTCAAACTTGACAGCTTTAAGACTTGTGGACTTCAACTCCCAGAATTCTTCCTCTCGCTCTTCATCTTGATGTGTGGACAGGCGGGGGGGAGGGAACTGGAACCGGTTCTAAACGGCACTGTAGATTTGTGGAACCTCTTCTATAGAAGAGGTTAGAACTGGCAGGAACCCACCCCTGGTTTGCTGCCTCAAATTATTTGTAAAAATAATAAAGGTGAGATACAAGGAAATAAATCATAATCCTCATGGTCAGATGGTTTGTGCAATGCATTCCAACCCATGGTTGGCTTGCTTTAGACGTTCTTCATGGCCAACCCAAGGGGGGGGGGGGTTTCGTTGTGGACAACCACAGGTGATGCTCTCTTGCCACTGCTAAGAAACCAGAACCAATGGTCCACTGCCCTTCCTCAGACTCATGTGCTGGGAAGGCAGAGTTAAACATGTCATAAGTTTAGAGCAGGAGTCCCCAAACATGGCCACTTTAAGACTGGTGGACTTCAACTCCCAGAATTCTCCAGTGGAGAATTCTGGGAGTTGAAGTCCACAAGTCTTAAAGTGGCCAAGTTTGAAGACCTCTGGTCTGGAGTCTTTATTTGGGGAAGGCTTCAAGGCCTTCTACGTCACACCTTCCAAGAGATCTGACCGATTATTATTTTTTTAGGTCTGCGGCCATTGATACTTCCTGCGCAGGCGCACGGACCAGCCACTCGAGCCCACGTGCCAGAGGAGGGCGGGTACTCCGCATCGTACCGCGCCTGCGCAACCCTTCGTCTCTTTTTTTTCTCTCTCTCTCCCTCTTCCCCCCCCTCGGCGGAAGGCCCCGGCGCGTGCGCGTTGCGCCGGAAGGCCTACCTCGGCCCGGCGGCTGGTTGCCACGACGTCGACGAAGCCTCGCTCTCCCATGGCCGGGACTCGCTGGGTGCTGGGCGCGCTGCTCCGCGGCTGCGGCTGTCATTACAGCGCCTGCCGCCACACCGGCGCCGCGGCTTGCCTGCCGCCGCCGCTGCGGCCTACCTCTTCGTCGCCGGCTTCCGGCGCTTTCGGCCTTTGCGGCCGCCGACGCCTCCTGCTCTTGCTCGGGGCAGCCACGCAGAGCCGCGGGGTCGCCAGCACGGCCGGGCCGGTGCCCGGCTTCGGCACTTGGCGGGGGTCTTTGCTCACCCCGCCTCTCGCGGGCCGATGCTACAGCCAGGTAGGCCTCGGAGGGGGAGGGGGGGCAAACCGTCTCTCTTCCCCCCTCCCCCCTCTTTTGCAACACCCAACACCACGTTGGTGCCTTGGACTACAAAGCCCCTCATCCTCGGGCCTCCAGCAGACAGCCGATCCGGGTTGAAGGTCATGAGGGACGTTTCCCCCCCTTATCTTCGCCTATTGATTCGGACTCTCCCTCTTTCCCCTCTTTTGTGAAAGGAAAAAGGCTGGCAACACGCTGTGTCCCTTTTGGGGGGGGGGCGGTTTTGCTCTTCAGTTGCTTGTTTCAGTTTCATTTCTCTGGACGTTTCGTTACCAGAGGATGTAACATCATCAGCTGGGTTATCTTGTCCTGTCCCTCCTTACCTTATAAATATCCATTTTCTTGTCCTATTCTGATATGTATACATACATACATACATACATACATACACACACACACACACACACACACACACACACACACACATCCATATCCATATTCATATCCATTTTCTTGTCCTATTCTACTTACCTTATAAATGTCTATTTCTTGTCCTATTCTCCCCTTCCCATATATATATGTGTGTGTGTGTATCCACTTTCTTGTCCTATTTTATTTAACTTATAAATGACTATTTGCTTGTCCTATTCTCCTTATAAATGTCCATTTTCTTATCCTAATCTCCTTACTTTATAAATGACTATTTTCTTGTCCTATTCTACTTACCTTATAAATGTCTATTGTCCTATTCTCCTTCCCATATATACATACATACATACATACATACATACATACCCATTTTCTTGTTCTATTCTCCTTCCTATATATATATAGGAAGGAGAATAGAACAAGAAAATGGGT